TAAACCCTAGATCTAGCATACAATTAATCATATTGACATAAAATAGGGTTTAGATCTAACCTTTGATTGTTGTATAGTAATAACAATCTAATCCTTGGCTTCAGAAAGCTTAGTGCCTCAAGTGTTGCACCTCTAAAGTGGAGTCACAAACACCACTAAGCAACTTGGATGAAGAGGTAAGAGAATGGAGGCACCAAAAACGGCTGGAAACCCTAAAGGTGTAGTGACTTGTAATCGAGTTTAAAGATCAATTTATGTAAGAATTAAGGAAAAAGAATCACGATGAACAAGAGAGTAAATATAATCTTTGATCAGCTCATATTATGCTTTCTGATTTACAGAGTATAACAGAATTCTCTATAAAGTGTGTGAAAAGTCTCTGATTCTCACATTGTATATACCCTTATTTATAGGCGTACAAAAGCATAATAAACTACTAAGGACTAGACAATAAAGCTTAGATAAAATGCCTTAGTAATTATAACGTTACATCCGAAGACACAACTTACGAAGACTAACAACCCTTTGTAACCAAAACAATACTTCGACATATTACAATACAAACCCTAACAATAGGAAGTGTTAGCCACGTTTTTGGTGCCCAAGGGTTCCTTATATACTTAGGCTATTAGGGTTATCAAAACAACGAAACCCTAATTTGACCGCTTAAGCCCTAAGCAGCCCATGGACTCCTTCTTTAGAAGCCTTGGACGATTTCTAATGGGTTTCCCCATAGAATTCGTCAACTCCTCCTTCTATGGAGTCCATAAGCCTATCTATGTAATTATCTTATAATTACACAATAAGTCCCTTAAGTTTAATTAATCTCTTTTAGCCACAAAATTAATTATTAATTAATTCTTGACTAATATTAATTAAACATTATGATTTCTCCTTTAATATATTATTCTTATAATATATTAATAAATCATAATTAAACCTTTCTCTCCTTAATTCATCCTACAAATTGCTATGGTGAAGGCAACCCAAAAGGACCATGCTCATAATCGGGTCAAGTACATACCAAAATAGTTATGGATCGGGTCAAGTACATACCAAAATAGTTATGGACTTAGACACTAATCCAACAATATTAATATTATTTGATGATTTTAATTTAAAAAAATTGTGTGGTCAAAATTTGTTCTCGAATATTCTCGATTGAATGTTCCCCTATATATATATATATATATATATATATATATATATATATATATATATATATATATATATATATATATATATATCAAGATTAATCAATTAGTGTCATAAGAACAATTAAATACTTTTGAAGGGTAATTAAAAATCATTATTACAAAAAATATAAAAATACATAAGTTTCAAATCAATATAAAGATTAAAATTTTTTTTTATAAGATATATAAATATAGATATAGATATAGATATAGACATGTAGATAAAATCTAAAGCTTCAATAAAAACTAGAATGGAATCAGTGCGCCTTTGGTGATGTGGTTTTGGAATTAAATTGCATCACAGTTTTGCATAACAGTTACGTAAGAATTAGACATAGCAACAAAATATTTACAACATCAGATTTCTTGCATAAGGATAGTTACATACCAGCATAATATTCATAGCAAAAGATTACTTCCTTAAGGGTTGCATAGGTACACATTGTTTATTTATAGTAGAACATCACTAAATAGATAAACATATTACTTATAAGGATGCTTGTCTTCAGGGAGTTTCTTGATTTGTTGTTTGAGATTGTTGATAAGGGCGTCATATTTTTCCTGCATATTATGGATGGTGTTGGTCATTTTTGCTGTCTCCTAGTGGTTGTCAAGTAGCACATGTTACGTAGTGTTTGAACATCAACGTCGTCACCGTGATTTGTTATGTATAGTCGGATATTTTCGTCAGAAACTTTCTTCTAACCTCAATTGTGTTGCTTCAAGTATGTCTGCAATTTCTCTAAGGAAGTCGATAATAATCATCAAAGTGTTATTGAAATCTGTACTATTCATTTTGATATTTATGATGCGATGTGGTTTAGATTTAGTTTTCAAAGTTACAATTTATATGTGTGGTATATTGTCATTTTGTGCATGTAGATAACGTAAGCTGTAGTTATAGACTTCCATGTGTGATGTTTTCCTGTTTGTAGCATTGCTTATTGATTAATTGCAAAGTAATTGAGAATAGTACGTGGCTTGTTATGCAATGGGTGGGTAACAAATGCTATAGTAGGTTACAGTTGAAGATTATTATTATATGATGACAACTTTAAGTAAGTAAAAAACAATAATAGTAAATAAAATTTATAAAAACTTATAAACGTGTGGTATATTGTCATTTTGTGCATGTAGATAATGTAAGTTGTAGTTATAGACTTTCATGTGTGATGTTTTCCTGTTTGTAGCATTGCTTATTGATTAATTACAAAGTAATCAAGAATAGTACATGGTTTGTTATGCAGTGGGTTGATAACAAATGCTATAGTAGGTTACAGTTGAAGATTATTATTACATGATGACAACTTTAAGTAAGTAAAAAATAATAATAGTAAATAAAATTTATAAAAACTTATAAACGTGTGTGTGGTTAGTTACGTAGAAAAATTTAATTGGAATATTACTTTCATGTTTTCTAATAATATTTTTTTATTTAGTTCGTATTAATTTAGTTTATATGAATATGCAATTTTTTTTAATTGACTCTTATTATGATGGTGTGTGTGTGTGTATATATATATATATATATATATATATATATATATATATATATATATATATTACTTAAAATCAATTACGTTTTTTTTTATTATCTTATAGAAAATGTGAACAGTAAGTTATTATAGGTTGTAGTTGATAAGATATTATTAAAGTTAGATATGTGTTCGAAAGTTGATAAAATATTAGTAAGCTATTATAAATTGTAATTGATAAGATATTAGTAAAAAAAAACAGAAAGAAAGATATGTACCTAAAGTGAAAAGACAAAGACTCACGTGTGTGCAATAAAAAATGAAAAAAAATATAGTGTTAATGAAAATTTTAGGCTTATATAATTTAGAGCAATTCCGTATAATCACCCATTATGTGGCCATGTGAACTACACATGACATGCTCCAATTATTTTATAGTGTTTTGTTTGATCTAAACCTTTCCATTTCTTGTTTACACTATGGATGATGACATGTACAAATATTGGAAATATCTTTTTCAATTTTTTTTAGTACCGGTGGCTTTGGACTCGATCATCAAGGTGGCTATGGACCCAAATATCATAGACATTATTGGTCAAATTATTGGATATAAAGAAACTTTCCTATAATCCTATCCTATTGCCGTGTACTTTTTCTTGAGCGACACTTATCTCTACTTATGTTAACTAAATAAAGATTTAGTTTAATTTAGTTGACTATTAGCCCTTCTAAAAAAACTTTATCAACTACTATCGATATTCTTCGGTTATCATTGATCATTTTATATACAATTTTGCTCCATCATCGGTTATCACGACCATTTTATATACAACTTTGCTGAATCGAAATACGTATAGGATATTGAATTCGTTAAACTAAATAAAAAAGTTATTAGATTTATTTTATTTATTTTTTGGAAAGGCAAATATGACATATTCTTACTAAAATACTCATAATAATATCTATGGGTTGAACGAGATTTGAACCTTCGATCTCAAAGAAAATGGTAACACCTGATACTACTGAGCTAAAAACCCTTTAGTAAATAAGTTATTAGATACTATTCTAATCCAAGGACTCGGGATATTAAAAAAATCCTTATTAAAAATACAATAATACATGTGGCAAAAAGAAAGGAAAAGTGATTTGTTAATCCTAATTTTATCCATTTATCATAATTTATGTTTTAAATGGTTACATAAAATATAAAAATACTATTATTAGTATTATATAAAATAAAAATATTATACAAACATTACTTATAATTATGAGTTCTTCTCAACCAGGTAATTAGATATATCAAATAAAATATCATCCACAACTAATCTCCTCTTAACTCGTCAACCTAATTCGAACTCAACCCAAAATTATCAGGTTGAGTTGATTAATTCATTTAATTTAAATAGGTCAACATGTCAAACATATTTAATTAAATTGGTTGGGCTGGATAAAAGTATCAACCCATCAATTAATTTAACTTTAATATTTATTAAATTTAATAATTATTGAAATATTATCATGTATTAATATAAATATAAATTTATAAATTATAATGTTCTATTTTTATTTATGTTTAAAAAAATGAAATTTTAATTCTTTTTTTTTTTTTGCAACAATAACATTAGTTATTTTCTAAAATCATTTCGAAATTACAACCTTTTAATGTTATTTGAATAATTTATTTATATTTATGAATTGGAATTGCCTAATTGTAGATTTTATTTAAGTTTGGAACAAACTTAAGTGGTAGAATCTTTAGTAATTTTATTTACTTTTTTAGTTATTAAGTGTGTTAATCTAGGTTTAACTTATTTATTTAATAAGTTGGGTTAAGAAATACATAAATAAATCAACCAAATAACGATCCATTTATCTAAAATATTGGGTTTGGTTGAAAATAACAATTATTTAGATAAATAGGTTGGTTTAAACTGAAATTTTCAATCGGGATTGAACTTAAACTGAACCTGCATTGACTTGTTGTTCTTAACTAGATTATTCTGAAACTTAAAGAGAAAATAAACCTCATTTATAGATAGTTACCAGTTTTTTAATGTATATTTTTAGAAAAGATTTTTTTTTTATTTTATTAAATTTAAATCAATCTATTATCATTTTCCTAAAATATTATTTTTAAGATTTCATCAAATACAAACAATTAATTTGGAACCGATATAGGATACAAGAGACATGAAGTTCAAGAATTTTGCTAAAAGAAAACAAAAACCATTTTTTATGTGGAAAAAATATTTTTGAAGAGTCAAAAAAATATCATTTTAAAACAATATTATTTTGAAAAAAATAGATTTTTAAAATTTTCTTTTTGTGGGGCAGCTGCTCCCTCCCCTCCTTATGAGTTGAAGCTAAAAAGCCATCAAGCCATCGTTGATTCCCACGGATGGAGACTAGACACTTCTAACCAATATAAAACATAATTCGATGCGGCAAACTCTGCAGCATTTGTGTTTGCGACTCAGAGAAGAAAAAACCAGCGGTGGCCGTTTATTATGGACGGAAAAAGCTCCAGCAATACCGCCGGCAAGCCTCTCCGATGCAGAGGTAAGTTCATCAACCTCTGTTTCAGAACTCTATTTTCATGGTTTTAAAGCAGTGAACACTTCCCTATAAATGAATGCCACATACTGACATACATCAAACTCATTGATTTCTTTATAAAACTAATGGAGTTCTGTGACTCTATGTTGCGTTGTCGACAGCTGCTATTGCTAGGAAAGCCGGGGAACCGCTGGTGATAGAGGAGGTGATAGTGGCCCCACCAAATCCACGCGAAGTTCGAATCAAAATCATATGCACTTCTCTTTGTCATAGTGATATTACCCTGTGGAAACTCAAGGTAGAGACTCATTAGCTCATTGCGTTTGAAATCTTAATTACACGTTATTCGTTTTACAAGTTTTTAATGCCTCCAAGTGTTCTTATTGAAGTTAACTAACCGTTTTTTTTTTCTAAAAAGGATCCTCCTGCTATTTTCCCCAGAATACTTGGTCATGAAGCAGTGGGGTAAACTTTTCTTATCCATGTACTGTAGATATATATATATATATATATATATATATATATATATATATATATATATATATATATATATATATATATATATATATATATATATATATATATATATATATATATATATATATATATATATCGACTTTTGTGTGTTATGATTTATTTGTTATTGCCAGATATATATAAGCAAATTATAATCATTTTATTTTGTTTCAAGGGTGGTAGAGAGTGTTGGAGAAGGTGTACATGAAGTTGCTGAAGGAGACACTGTGATCCCAACTTTTGTATCCGATTGTGGTGAATGTAGGGATTGTTTGTCGGAGAAAAGCAACCTGTGTACGAAATTTCCTTTCAGTATTTCTCCTTGGATGAGAGATGAGACAAGTAGATTCACAGACATCAATGGAGAAACCTTATACCATTTTGTGTATGTTTCAAGTTTTAGTGAGTACACAGTCGTTGACATTGCTCATGTAACTAAAATTGATCCAGCAATCCCAGCAAATCGAGCTTGCCTCTTAAGTTGTGGAGTTTCGACTGGTATATTCTATTCTTCTTGGAATGTTATTGGTTTTCCATTTTAAAGGAAAACAAATTAGGAATATTCCACTTCAAAATGTTATGAATTCATTAACTTTTAGGTTAGGAAATGATAATCGTATATCACATTAAGCTTTCGAGCTGATTTAAGAAAAGATAACGTGTTGATGACATAATATAGTAATAGATTCTATATTTGATATTTGGGAAATACAAAATGCTTTCAGGGGTTGGGGCTGCATGGAGAACAGCGAAAGTGGAAGCTGGAACAACAGTTGCTATATTTGGACTGGGTGCAATTGGGCTAGCCGTATGATTCTTCTTAATTCATTTCAAGATTATAATTATACTTTTAGGGTGCCTTAATATATCACCCATAAAAGCTTCTACGTTATTAGTCTTGTGATTGGATATTTATAAAATAAACCACATATACATAGAATATTGTATTAGTTTGGTATATTGTAATTGCATGTTATAACAAACTGATAAAACAATCATGAATGATTCAACGTTATGTGACATATATTCATGCATTGTGAATTTATATCTTGATGAGAGAATAAAACAACAAAGAGATGTTTTTACAGGTCGCTGAAGGAGCGAGGCTATGTGGAGCTAAAAGAATCATAGGTATTGATGTGAACCAGGACAAATGTGAAATAGGTAATTTATAATAAAGAATTCTAATATCTTTTTTTTTTTTTTTTTTTTTTTTCTATCTATCTTTCTATCCACGTGTTGTTATTTGATGAGTAGGAACGTATTTTGGGTAGACTCAGTTTTACATTGACCTATTCTTTTATTGGCAGGAAAGAAATTTGGAGTAACTGATTTTGTGAACTCGCGTAACATTGGGGACAAAACTGTGAGCCAGGTAACTTATGTACATGGTTCCGAGTTCACTGCCTCATAAATATATAATTAATCAGTAATACATTTTTTTTTCATTTTAGAAATAGATCTTAATGTGATTTTTAAACGTAAAGTGGTTGCTTGAAGCAGATAATAACTGAAATGACTGATGGGGGTGCGGATTATTGTTTTGAGTGTGTTGGTTTAACGTCTCTGGTGCATGAAGCTTATGCTTCTACTAGAAAGGTGCATTCCGTTCTATCTTTATATCATTTCAATTACTGGACTTCAAGTTTTTCAAATATATTTTATGATGTAATCTTCAGGGATGGGGAAAAACAGTTGTGGTGGGGCTTGATGACCCAAGTTCAATGTTGACATTAAGTACTTTCGAGTTACTTTATAGTGGGAAATCTCTAATGGGATCGTTTTTTGGAGGTCTTAAACCAAAAACGGATATAAATATCCTTGGAAAACGCTATATGGACAAGGTATGTATAATCTACCCTCTTTAGATTGTCGTTGATTTTTAAGATCAAATAAAAAAAAAAGTTCTCAAATTAATTCTAGAATCTAGATTGATGTATATGTGTTTTTGGACACGGAACATTTCAAACATAGTATACATCATTGCATTTATTTGGGGTATTTTGCGGGATTTATGTTGAGGGGAGTAAAAATGAAATATTAAACAAAAACAAAGTATATATAAGAAAATGATATAATTAAACATGGCGGTGTATTCAGGAATTACAACTTGATGAATTTGTAACACATGAGGTGGAGTTTGAGGAGATAAACAAGGCTTTTGACTTGCTACTCGAAGGGAAGAGCTTACGGTGTGTAATTTGGATGAACAAGTGATCAAAATTCATTTCAATAATGCATTGTTTTCTTTCTCTAGTTATAAAAATGGCACTGAATGTGTTATTTAGTGTTAATGATGACAATGGTGCCAGATTCCTGAGTAAATTTGAAATAAAGTGTGTAATGTGTGCTACTATTGGATGATCTTTCCTAGGGACCCATAAGGTTTGGCCTTTGGGACATGAGATGAAATTGATTATAGTGTTAAAAAAATAAAAATAAAACATTATGGGTAAATTTTAAATAAAATGTGTACTGTGGGCTACTATTGGCTAATCTTTCCTAGTGAACCATAAGATATGCCCTTTGGGAATTAAGACAAAGCAAATCGATGTTAAAACTATAAGCTTAACACATTCCTATAGGAGAAAAAAAAGGATTTGATTGTAAGTACATTAATTTAAAAGTGTTCTCTCACATCATAAGCTTAACACATTCCTATAGGAGAGTACTCTTAATTCCAATACTAATCAAAACTAATATATATATATATATATATATATATATATATATATATATATATATATATATATATATATATATATATATATATATATATATATAAACATGCGCTGCGCCGCGGGTTTGAATTAGAATGGTACCGATGAGATAACATCCGTAACGTTAGTATGTTCGCAAAGTACATTGACAATTAATCCAAATTAATGATATGAAAATGATGTCAAGGAAAAAATGTGATAAAATATAGGTATAGACAAAGCAAATCGATGTTAAAACTATAAAATTGATATCATTACTAAGATGATCATAATGCAAAGATAAATTTTCATAATATTGAGGCTGATCTTATCTTAAGATGAGATGGTATGACGTGTATAATGTTTATTGAAATTTAGTAGTTCCAAATCTTCTTTCTCGGCTGCAATTGTAAGAATTCAACATGTGTTGGAACTTTATATATAAAGGAATTGTAAGTTGGCAATTTCCTTTGTATCCCACATTGGTGGGGGAAAGAAACTTTTGTGGGTTTATAAGCCTATTCCCCTTCAAAGGTTTTAGTGGATCAAAGGAATGGGTGCGCGAAATGGCACAATTTAGGCGCATGATGCCATTGGTTTTTATTTTTGACGAGTTCGGGTCAAGCCGGTTTGACCGATCCGGTCAAATGGTTGACCATCGTTGACTTCGTGGAGGCCAAGTCAGGGTATTCTAGAAGGATCAGGAAACGGCTTGCTTGGAGAGCAAGCTGTCGCCCTAGGTTTTATGGGGCCGGCCTATGGGGGCCTGTTTTGATGCCTTCTAGGGTTACGATACCGATAAATACAGCTCCTTAGGAGCCGCATTAAACCTCTCTCGAAATCTGAAAGCTTCCTCCCTCTCTCTGCGTTTTTCCCTAGTTTCCAAGTAGTCGCTTTGGGTTTGTCGATTTCCAGTGCTGTTGGAATATCGATAAAGCTGCATTAAATCCTGGGGTTTTACTCTGTTGCTTACAGCCAGTACAAGCGAAGTAAAAACCTTTAAGGACAGGAGTCTGATCCGTGCAGTTGCATCAAGATCAAGATCAGCAATCAACAGGTCGATTTTATTTTTCTGTCTTGTGTTTAATTCGTCCAATAACAGGATAGTCTTCTTCTACCTTTCTTATAATCAGATCTAATCGAGAAGGATATATCTGGTTTTTGGACGAAACTCGGTAAATGTAATAATAATTGGATCTATTATTCGCAACTAATCGACATATAATTCTCAATATTATTTGCCGGTTTCCTTTAGGGATGAGCATATGGACCGGGGAACCGGTACCGGAACCGGAACCAGAACCCGATGGAACCGGTCGGGCCGGGACCGGGACATTATTTTTGTGGATTTTTGGAACCGGGAACCGGTAGGAACCGGAACCGATATAACCGGAACCGGAAAAAACCGGTAGAACCGGCAAAAACCGGAACCGTATGATGCTATTTTTCAAGGACCGATTCCAACATTTGAAGACACGACAAGAACCAGTAGGAATCGGGAACCGGTGGAACCGGAACCGGTAGAACCGCCGGGCCGGTTCGGTTCTTAATTTTGGCCGAAGCCGGTTCCCGGTTCCGGTCCGGTTCGGGCCGGTTCCGACCGGTTCGGTTCTTTTACTCATGCCTAGTTTCCTTGGGCGTCTATTAGTTTGTTATTTACAACAATCTTAAAGGTTTTTATTTTATTGTGATCAATCAACAGACTAATGGACTCTACTGCTAGCCTTCACTTCACGAACCAAGAGTTTGCCAAACTTGACCAATTCGATGGTCAGAACTACACTGGTTGGGCCGAAAAGGTCAAGTTCATGCTTCATGTCTTGAAGCTCTCCTTTGTGTTGGACCCAAAACTGGCACCAATACCTGATGATCCAATTCCCAAGGAAGAGGAATCTGTGGACCCAGCGGTCATTATAGAACTGGAAAAACAAAGGATTCTGCGTAGAGAATCTGAGGAATTATGTGTGGGTCACATCAAGAATTCCCTTTCTGATTGGCTCTATGATCTTTACTCGCCGGTCAAAGATCCTAAAGAGCTATGAAGTGCGTTGGAACTCAAGTATAAGGCACATGAAGAAGGTACTAACAAGTACCTTGTGTCCAAGTATCTTGAGTTTCAAATGGTTGATGACAAACCAATTATGGAGCAAGTGCATGAACTCCAAGTCATGGTCAACAAGTTGAACGCACTCTCCATCTCTCTTCCAGAACTCTTTCAGGTTGGTGCGATCATCGCAAAACTGCCACCCTCGTGGAAAGATTTTTCTAAGAGAATGATGCACAAATCTGAGGACTACTCCTTGGATGATCTGATGAAACACCTCCGCATTGAGGAGGAAACTCGCATCAGGGACAAGCGAGGTAGAGTTGGACAAAGTGTGCATCATGTGTCAGCTGGGAGTTCTAGCCACAAAGGCAAATCTCGGGGACAGAACAAGAAGAACTTTGGACCCAAGAAACAAAGCTTCAAGAAACCGGGTAATCAGAATCCTAACTCAAAGCCAAAAAAGGGCCGATCCTTGTCACGTCTGCAAGAGAGATTGGGCACTATGCGAGAGAATGCAAAGATCGCAAATCAGTACCGGTTGCACATGCAGTCGAGAAGGTAACTGACATTGTAACGCCCTATTTATTTAAATAAATTAATAAATGTAAGTCCCAGACTAATTGGTGAAGAATTTTGATAGTTGGGGGTTGTTAGTAAGTTACAGAGTTATTTTGGGTTTAAATTAAAAAGAAATATAGTAGGGAGGGACCAATATTGGTAAAATACTCCAAAGTTTAATGAAATCACGGGTGAACCCGTCACCCTTATGTGCAGCCTCCATATTTAACCCATGACATGTGAAACCCTAACCCTAAGGATTCATTCAGCCGCCACCACCTTGTGACCCCCCTAGCCGCCACCTCCTTTCTGCTCACGTCTCCGATGCGGATCAAGTCGCCATCTGCTGCCGGCGACACCGTGAGCGACAAGGACCAAGCGAGACCGGACTTGGAGCTGTACATGGCGAAGTGTGGGTTGCTAACGAACGGAATACCGCCGGAGAAACAAGCTGGGGAGGAGTCTAGAGCGTTGAAGAACGAAGCCGCTGTGCTTCACCATCTGTTAAGGCGTTAGTACCACTCTGAGTCCGATAGCCGTCCTTCCTTCTTCTTCTTCTAATCAGCCGCCACCTTAGAAGCCTTCATGTCGCGCCGTTACTGTTATTTTGTTGATGTCATTGCTGGATGGGTAACAGAATTGTGAAGATGCCGCCGCCACCTTTGCCCTTTTCTCTCCGTGATGATGGTTGTTGAGGTTTCCATTAACCAAGACCGAGCAGGGACCATCATCGGTCGTTTCTGTTGCTGCAGTTTGCCAGCCGAGAACGCTACCCCTAGCCGCCACCCTCATTAACGGACTGTTGAAGAAGATAGGTTGTTGCTGCCATCAACTTTTCCATCAAGAACGATGATGGGCTGCTGGTGGGTGTCTATTTTCATGTGGATGTGTTGTGCGGGTAGTTTATTTGGCCGGAAAAAGTAGCTGCCGCCTTGTGTTGCCGTCGGCCACCATGGTGTGGTTGTGTGTGTGTGTGTTAGTGTGTTAGTGTATGTGTGGTTATGTTTTGATCAAACATTGTAATTGTAATTAATTTGGATAATAATAAAAATAATAGAAACCACCACCGTAAGGTGGTGGCCGCCACCGTGAGCTGCCATCGACCACCACTACCCGAGGTGATAGTGGGTGGTGCCCCGCTAGAAAACCCTAATGGGCTTAGAGATTGGTTTTGGGCCTTAGACTAATTAGGCCACTTGTGGGCCATTGGGATTGGTTTGTGAATTAAGCCCAAACTATTCCAGGCCATTTATCTAGTAGAGTAAAGGACTTAATGGACTAAGTCCTTAATGGACTAATTGAGAAAATCCTAATATTTGAGAGATTATCAGCACACACACAAGAATTATTTAATAAGTGAATATTAAATAATAATCATTGGTAGAAATTAACCTAAGAAATAATGGACTTAATGGATTAAGTCCTTAATGGATTAAGTCCCTAGAGTGTTAAGTCCTTAATGGGTTAAGTAAGAAACACTTAACCCTAGTTATCATTTTATGTGAAACCCTAATTTTACTTGGCTTTGTGTTGGGCCATCCAAGAACAAGCAAATGGACTAGAATAATTTATTGGGCTTTAGGGTAAGGTCCATATGAAGGATTGGGCCCAATTTGGAAAATTGGGCCATAGTTGGGGCCTAGATGGTTGTATGATATTGGGCCCCTAGATTGAGACATGTTGGACTGGATTGAACAATTGGGCCTTATGGGAAGTCCATATAGAGGTTTGGGCCTAATTTGGAAAATTGGGCCATATGTTGGGCTTTGATCCCTAGTTGACTTTGGGCCTATGGATTGGGCCTTGGGCTTGGGTAAGCCAATCCAGGGGTAATGTAGTAATTATCCAAAGCATGTATTTATAGTTATGTGTTAGAACCCAATTATTAATTGGGTGTTATTTTGGTGTTGACAGTTAGGGAATCTGTCATCCAGCAGCTGGGGTTGAGTCTGCATGACTTCAGCAGTGTGGGATTGTGTCTACAGGACTTCAGCAGTGTGAGGTGAGTTTCCTTCCAGTAGGAACGGGTCTAAGGCCACAATGCCGGCCCGTTTAGTAGCAATAGTTTTCGGACTTTGGTCCGATGCAGTTGTTAGTTTGTTTGATGCCTTCGTGGCTCAGACAGGATTTATGTGTTAAGTGTTATGGGCTACGGCCTGACGTAGTATGCAGTATATGAGTTTATGATCATGTGTGTTATGCTATTTGATATGTGTTTTTGCTATGCTATGCTATGCCTAGTCAGTTTC